TTACCCTCTTATATAATGATTTCTTTTTTTTTTTTTATTTATCTTTTCATTTTTATGTTGAGTTGACTGAATTCTGTAAATTTTTTAAAAAGCTTTTACGAATTATGGATTTTAAAATTCTGTAAATTCTTTAAAAAGCACTCAATTAAGCTTTGAATTACTTCATACAATAGGTGTATACAACAAATGTATAAAGACCCTTTAATTTTAAATTTAGAGTTGTAAATAAAGTGTAAATAAAGCAGCAAAATATTATTTAGGAGAAATTCAGATTAAATATAAACTGAAAAGTATCAATTTATTTTAATTTTTTAGAATTAAAAATCGAGCTACTATTATATGTCTTTTAAATCGACTAACTAAATATGTTATATGGTAAATTAATGAAACCGAAATGACAATCATGTCGAATTATTGCCATTCATTTTGGAAGCAATGTACGTGAAAATTAATTACATTTTGGACGACGACACCAACTCTAACCTTCTTTTTTTCAAAAAAGCTTAAAAACCAGTGCATTCAAGGTGAGACTCGCGGCATTATTTACTGTTTAACTAGTTTTACATAAATCGTACTATTCTTTCTAGCTCTTTAGAAACACGCTTGAGCATTATCATTGTTGCGGCTTTAAAGATGATTCAATCGCTGTGCCATGCGAGTCATTGAGTTTCCTCGCGCACAGCCGTTTCTTTGAAAGATTTTTCATGGAAAAGAACACAGGAGCAAAAGTGAATAATATGTAATGTATTTTTAAATTATGAATTTATTTTTTAACAGCGTACACTTGTAAATGCCGTTTCAACCTAAACCAAACTGTTTTCATTCGATTTCTTTTCTACGCATTCATATTATTATACAAATATTACATTTATACAATTTTTCATAAATGTCTACAGTGCAATATTGAAAAATATGGATATTATAAAATTCAATTTCTCGCTTCTCCATCTTTAAAAATCCGCTATTTCTGTCCGATCTGTCCGTATCTGTTTGATATCGACGCGAGCGAAGAAATTTTTATGGCTGGAGCACAAATACAAGTCCGTCCAATTTCTAAAGTTACAGGGAAAAATTACAAAGAAGTTTTACAAGAGCTCAATATTTCCGCCGCACGCCCGGAGCAACGCGCGGATTCGAGTATTTTTTTTTTTTTTTTTTTTG